GCATTCTGGTTCCAAGCATCTGCTGTAAGGCCACATTAGCAATAGCAAAGGGGTGACAGACAGAAAAAAACAGTTCAAACACACACTGGAAAAATATATATATTTATGAGAACACTGTTTTCCTTTCTGCTGGAGATAATGTTTAAAAGTTCTACAATAGATAGCTAGCTAGATAGATATTTATTGGCATTGCAAATTAATACAACAAAACTCTGTAGGAGCAATCCAGCTGCAGCATATAAAAAATATAAAATATGTTCACATATACCAGCACACACACTCAAACACAATCCAAGCACACAGAATAATGTGAGCTCTGAGGCGTTTAAAATCAGGCAATCACCAGGTCTTGTAACTGTTCTGCTTTTTGCTGTCTCCATTGAATCAGTTTGAATCAAAGGATTGTGATAAAAAGATCTGCCTCTATAGCAGAAACAGCAGCAGACAGCAATGTTTGATGGAACTGGACTTGGAACAGAGCAGTATTTAAGGTGTAGAAACAATGAGCGAGACTTGCGTCATCAGCCAATACATCCCTTCAGAGTTTTGTGCGACTCAAACTTATGTGAGAGGAAGCTATTATCTTGGAGCTTTATAATTAATGTGTGTCTTTGTCAGTTATTTCTGCAGCCACAATAACAAAAAACTCATTTCCTCAGTGCTGACTAAGAGAAACACATAGTATGTGATGTATTGCTCTTCTTTTTATTTTAAACATAAACTCTTTAAACACAACCATTACTGCTGCTGCTGATTTCAGAACAGTGTCTCTGTCTGATGATGGTCACATTAAAACAGAAATCTTTTTTTTTGGTTTGTTTAAACGTAATCAATGAAACATTGTTAATCAGAGTTTTGCAGATTGTTTGTGTGTTTCCTGATTCTCATGTTACATTCATTATTTTCGTGTTTGTGTTTTTGCCCGCCTTGCAATGACTAACGACTAGCAGTCATTTACACTTTGTCTGACAGTGTTGTTCCTCTCTCAGACAAAACTGCAAGTGTATCTGTGTGGGTGGGTTTGTACCAGGCCTAGAGAGAGAGAGAGAGAGAGAGAGAGAGACAGAAAGAAAGAAAGAGGGAGAAAGGTCCATGAATGATCACGTTTTGTGCCTCAGTCTGATAGTCGAAGTACCAACTTTTCTGCTAAATACTATTAAGCACTAAATGTGAAAAATCCCGTTTGGTGTTGTTGCTTGATAGCATTTAAAAATAACATATTCTTCTCATGAATGAGATGATTCGATAGGAAACAATATAAAATGATGAGAAACGAAAGATACGATTTGATTCGATTTGATACATTCGAGAGATATGTCCATAATAACAATCTTCATGTCACGATTAGGGTAACTTGTGTAAAACAAGCAACAAATTAAAATTAAAACCGCAAGCGGTGATGAAGGGCCTCGCACCCCTGTGCATGTCGGGGTGTGTCGCGACCGCGGAGTGCAGCGGAACGTGGCAAAGCAGCAGGCCGTGCAGTTCGATATGTGTAAAAGTCGTAGTACTGGCATGTTGAAATAGGCAACGTAATGAAGATCACATAAAATTTTGACGTAGAGCAGTTCAGGCTGGCACTGTCATGATAGCTATGAAATACGAGCAAATTGAGCATTGTGTATAGGATGTAGTACTTATTCTTTGCAGTAGGGGGCTATGGTTGAAGTTGACTAATGTTATGTCAATGTGTTCAGAGGCCAACCCTGAACATACCTGAGATGTGGGAAAAAGATCAGACAAAGTGTACAAGATGTAGTACTTACTCCTTGCAGTAGGGGGCGCTATGGTTAAAGGAAATGATTGTTATGTCAATGTGTTCAGAGGCCAACCCTGATCATACCTGGGAAATTTTAAGCAGATCCAAGAAAGTATGTATGATGTAGTACTTAGTCCTTGCATTAGGGGGCGCTATGGTTAAACTGTATTATTGTTTTGTGTCACTGTGTTCAGAGGCCAACCCTGATCATACCTATGTAATTTCAAGAAGATCAGACAAAGTATATAAGAACTACAGCCACTTCCTGTTTGATGGCGATGTGATTTGTGGACTTCCTGTTGAGTTTTGGCCGTGGGTTGAAGAGGAGGTTTTTTGTCATGTTAGAAATGCATAGTAAAATTCAGAATTGTAGGTTCAACGTGCTGCGGGGGCTGAATGTTTGAAATATTGTAGGGGGTGCCACTGAGCCATTAAGCCACGCCCACTCACTTAAACGGTATAACATGTTTGACTTTACTACCAGGATTATATTTATGAAGTTTCGGGACAGTACGACTATGTTAAACCCGTGAAAAAACTACTTCCTGTTTGATGGCGAGCGACGCGTCCGTATGGCCACAGCGTTGGACGTAGGCGTTTGAGCTTGAAAGTGTTGTATGGCCAAGGTGTTAGCATGGTCCACACCAATTTTGAGGGGAAAATGAGCTACCGTGTAGCAATGGCTAATGCTAATTGAGAAGCCGTAACTTCCTGTTGTCAACAGGTGGCGCTGTGACTAATCAAAAAATATTAATCATGGATGTGTTCAGGGCGGGTCCCGTATCATGCAGGAGACATTTTATTATGATTGAACACTAGATGGCAGCGATATAAGCATTTACTTTTTTGGCAACTTGCCAAAACGCTCAAAAAAACTTAAAATGCACACCACGCCCTTTGACGAAACAACGTGCAGAGCACAACGAGATATGCTGAGCCTGTCTAGAACGCACGGACACTGAGTTTGCGCCGATCGGATGAGCGCCCTCGGACAAGTGCGTTCAAATAGAAAGGCTGTAATCGGCGATTTTGGGCCATTATCGTGAAATTGAAGTTTAATTTGTGGACTTCCTGTCGGGGTTTTTGAAACGCTGCAAGAGGATTTTTAGTCCGTCCCGAGAAGCTTAATATGCATACCAATTTTCGGGAGTGTACGTGAAAAAAACCTTTATGGGGAGGCCATTTTGAAAATTTGAAGGGGGCACCACTGAGCCATTTTGCGAACTCCATTTACAAAACCACCAAAATATCACGGTTCGTGCTCGGGCCCTAACACATGAACTTTAGCTTTTGGCAGATCTGACGAAACAACTACAAAGTGGATCATCAATCTTTGGCCCAGGGTGCTCTGGTACCAGGAACATCCCTATGCTTGAACATGGTGTTTGTTATGGCCAATCCATGACTAGCACAGAAGTCCAACAACAAAACACCACTCATGATCAGATCGGGCAGGCCGTTCCTCCCAATCACTCCCTCCAGGTGTCCCCGTCGTCGCCCACGTGAGCGTTGAAGTCCCCCAGTAGAACTACAGAGTCCCTAGGCGGAACCCTTCCAGGACCCACCCAGAGACTCCAAGAAGGCCGTGTACTCTGAGCTGCTGTTAGGTGCATATGCACATACAACAGTCAGAGCTTCCTCTCTGCAACCTGAAGTCGCAGAGAGGCAACCTCTCGTTCACTGGGGAAAACTCCAACACAGTGGCGCTCAGCCGGGGGCTTGTGAGTATGTTAGTGCCCCGACAACACAGCTTCCGGGTTCATGCAAACTCCTCCACCACGTTAAGGTGGCAATTCTTGGAGGAGAAGTTTTCTTGTAGAAAAATTAAAACATTGATATTACATTTATTTCTAACTTTAGATCCTCCTATGTCGAACACAATGGTCCCTCATTGGGCCTACATTTCAAACAGAAATGGGCCTTCAATTTGTTGCTTCATGATTACAACACAACAGTTGTTGCATTTTTTTTTCTGTGTTTAGTGTATCAAAGTCACCGGCACTGTGGTTTTACTTCGCCTACTTGTAATATTTGCTGGTCCAGACCCCTAGAGATGATAGAACATTTGTTTGGTCCAGCCTTAAGACTGTCCAGTCCCATCATGTTACATTGGTACATCTCTTTATTCTCTTGATGGACTGAACACCTCGCAGTATTGTTAAAAATAAGTTATTTTAGCCAAGCACATGTTGATAGACTCTGACTCTGGGTGGGAAGAGTGTCTCATTTCCCAGACCTTTTGACAGACACTTCTCCACTTCTCCACATACACCTTGGAAACACATTTTGGTTAGCTGAGCTTAACTTTGTCTGCTAAAGTGACTCTGGATTACCTGTTAAGGTGCTGTATCTATTCTCCAATGAATATCTGATTCCTTTTTTGTCAGAATGATTTTAATAGTATACAGCTTGTAAATAGTTGTTGTATTTTTCACTCCTATAGAGTCACCTGATATTAGAGATTGTTATCTCTTTGCTGCTGGGAAACAGTAAATAAAAGTGTATGCTCAACATACTTATTGATCGTGGAAGTAAACGCTAAAGACCAGGGTAGTGTCAGAAAGTGATTTGGCAGTGTTGCAACAACTTGTGCTGTCATCCAAAACTGAGCTCCCTAAAGCACTTAGCTGAAGTTGGCTAAAGAGCCTCTCATTTAAATGTGCAGCCGACAGCAGGACAACAGAAGTGTCAGAGTAGACGTGAGAGGCAATGTAAGGTGTTGCCTACTGGATATGTGCTAGGTCTATTTTAAAGGGTTGTTCAAGTCTGTATTGTATCCTTCATCTTCCCTCCAATGTAATTAAATGTATGCTATGGATTATTATTATTATTATCATTATTCATAGGCTACTCAGCATTAAAACGAGATGTTGTTTGGTTATTGCTTGTGATTATGTAAATATTTAAAAGTGTGCCAACCTGCCAATGGAAATTAGCCTATGTTTGGCATATTTTGCATATTTATGTGCACTGTCCATATCTTAAATAAATAAATAGCTAAATAAAACTGTTATGTCTTTTACTCATTTAAAAGATCAAGGCAAAGCAGTATTAAACTAATTTTTTATTTTTTTTTATTTGTCAATTTTATTTCATCAAAAAAAAAACAATAAAGGTAAGAAAAACAAACAAACATAAAATCTCAAATTGATATGCACTTATAAATGCAGAAGCACCTCTCCTCATTCACCTCATTTCCACATGCTGCATCTTAGCTTACAAAAAAAGTTCGTCTCCTTACCGTCTCATCTCCCAGGTTCCGCAGCACGTCTTCTCTCCCTCCTCTGCTCCTGCTCTGAGGTGAGTCCCCAGGGGGGCTCTCAAAGCCCTCACTGGCCGGGCTCTTCGCCTCCTGACCAGTCTCCCGTTTGGCGGTCCTCGGGGTCCGGGAGCCCCTCTGGCCGACGCTCAGGGCGTCAAAGTCAATGGTTTTGCTCTCGAAGGCGTCCTCCACGCTGCAGAACAAGCCGCCGTGTTTCTGCCGGGGCACCTGGTCTGCCGTGCCGGGCCGGGCCAGATAAACCGGCAGGTCGTCCTCTACCTTGTCCCGGTTCCCCCTGCGCCCTGCCATGCTGGAGCCCTGCTCAAGTGACCGGGAGAGACGGGGAAACTAGAGTTGAAGTGGAGTGTGTGTGTGTGTGTGTGTGTGTGTGGGGGGCTGTGTTTGTGTGGTGGAGTTTTTTTGAAGCTAAATACGAGATGGCACAGTAGTGGTTCATGATGCAGCATTATTATGTTTACCCCACTTTTAGAGCATACTGGAGCCTGAGGCAGGATTTTGGACTGGGTATTGGGACTTCTGACTTCTTATTTTTCGTATAGGAGCAGGTTTATCCCTTATAGTGTGAACATGCACTGTAAAAAAAACCTCTAAAGTTACTGTAAGGACTGATTGGTTTGTGTTGATTTTGGCGCCCCCTGTCGACAAAGCAGTAAGTATGTGGCTGTCCCTGTCCCTTTACATGCATAAAATCTCACCCTACTTCCTTTTTGTCTCTCTAATGTACCAGTTGTTTTGTGTGTGTGTGCGTGCGTGCGTGCTTGTGTGCTTGTGTGCTTGCGTATGCGTGTGTTGCAGAACGCTTTGTCAGACACGGACATGGCTTCAGCAGAAACAGAAATTATTTTATAGAAATAATCTTACTCCTGATTGTTTCGGTAGGTCACAGAGGCATCTGTATTATTCCAGTTAATTTGATAACCAGCGAAGAACTCCGCAGTAGGTTTACGACACAAGTACCCACATCTTTTCTGAAGATGGCCTCACTGGAGGGTTTATTGAAAATCCGACAGAATAAAGGCCTTTAATGTGAGAGCAGGGAAACATTATTGACAGATGATCAGCAATAATTAGCCTAGTCAAAAATATGCAAATATCAACATTCATATCTCATGTTTAATATAATTAAGGCATTATATAAATACAATTAAAGATAGACGTGTACCAAGAAACCAAAATGTGCTCAACAATTCCGTCATTAAATATAAACATAGTCTACTGGGTCTAGTCCTAAACATCATGTACTGCAGATTTTGTTGGACACAGGTGTGCAGTCCAGTCGTCAGGTAGCCTACAGACTGTACGTACAGATGGATCTTGTCACTCTACATTCAAACAAACATTTCTAGCTACACCTGCACTTTTTGTTTGACTGCAACACAAATTGAATAAAGCTAAGGTTCCCTCACTTGCTTGTCTTAGGTGCCTGAAACCCACCTGTGACACCCACAGGGCTGATTTCTGACTCCAGCAGAAATGAGACAGGGTGGTGTCAGCAGCAGAGGGAGAAGAGCAGCTTTCAGGCTGCAGGTCTCAAACTTAAGAGTGCTGAGTGCAGAGGGCAACAGAGGGAGGAAGGAGTCACTCAGCAAACAGACATGATATTATATAACAGCCATAATTCAGCATGTTTTACAAGTTGGAAATGGGTCATAAAAGTCTCACTGAGTGTTTGTGTTTGGAGGCTTCCTCCTTATCATTTGTCATCCAGACATAGACCAACATTTTGTCCAGATAGTGGTAGTAGTAATACGCATTAGATGAAGGGGAGAAAATTAAATTCTCACTATTTTGCCCCTAAACAAACAAAGATTTCTCTATTTCCTAGGCTCCTGAGTAATATTGATTGGTCTTCATAGGTATAATCATTAAAACTCAAATTCCTTACCTTAACTGTTTAAATCCTGCGTCTTGTTCTGGATGAAAAGTTTGGAAACATAAAGATTCAGTTCAGTTAGTCTGGTACTGTACAGTACGAGGATGTGTTTGGTTTCTCAGTGAGGCCGTCGCTTGGCGTAAACTTTCATCAGCTGGGTTAGAAATAACTCCCCTTTCACATCCCAGTGAAGTGCAACGTGTGTGCATGTGAATGTGGACGAGTGAGAGTGAGAGATAAAAAGACAAAAAGCCCTCAGAGTCCAAGGTCACAAGGTCAACCACACTGTAGGCTTTGCAGAGGAATCAAACAGGGCTCAGGTTGTCTTCACTGACATGAAGCCTCAAAAGGGGGAAGATGTAGAGCTAGCATCGAGTAAAGAAAACATCTTCACAGCAGAAAGTGTTTCTGCAGGAATGTGCAATATAATATTTTATTTAGCAAATATATGCTTAAAGACATTTAAATTAATGAGATAAATAAACATAGTTTAATTGGTAATTCACTTTCTTTTACCCCATTAAAGCGCTTATCTGGTGTCACTAAGGCTAATTTTGCACATTTTAATGTATCTTTTGCTGACAATCAGAAAGCCCATAAGATAAAATGAATGGGTGTGGGAATGAGAGAAGAATCATGACTGAGCACTCTTTTTCTGAAAAGCCGGCTTAGTGGACTTTTTTTTTGCAGGGGACTGAAGCTGGGTAAAACATGATAAGTAGCTCTATTTCCACACAGTGTCTGCCATGCACCACTGTCACAGTTCCTGTGGCTCTGTTGGCGTCGAACGCAGAGACTTGTCAGGCCAGCAGAAAAATGCCCCCCCCCCTCTCATGAATGTGATTAAAGCGTCAGGGTTTGTGGGGGTATGCCAAGAGCTCACTAAAATGTCGTGCTTGTGTAATTCCCTTTGTTTTTTTGGAGCCGTCCGTCCTCTCTAAAAGAGCGTGACTTGTGTCTGGACACAAAATGATGCTAAGAGAGGGGGACGAAACAGAAAAAAACTGACAGCTTTCTTTAGATTTCAAACATGCCGTGGCTTGGTGTTTTGGTCTGCCACACATTCAAACACTGACACCAACCAGTTGAGGTGACAGGGAGAGAATTAAATGTTATGTGAGAGAACAAGGACATTGCTCAGAGGTCTGGTGCAGATGTCTGTCTTAAAATGGAGCCAGTTTATCTGTGGTTCAGACAGAGCAGACTAGCTGGGAGGCAGCAGCGCCATCAGCAACAGTCTGTCTGGTTTTCAATGTCGGGGATGTCATTATAGCTGCAAACCAGCAATATTTCCATCAGTTTTATTTTTTATGTGGTTAATTTATCTTTGGTTTACTGCCAATGTATTCATAAAGGAATCTATCAAAGCTAGAAGATCTTAAGGGATTTCTGTTATTTCCTGCAACATATTAGCCAAGATTTCCCCTTTTGAATGTGATGTATCAATCTGTGTTTGGCACTCCGTCAAGAAGCTTTCAAACAGCATACTACTCTGACTTTAAGAGGATTTAAAAGGAAAGCAGGAACAAAGCAAGAGACTGTATCCTCATCTTCACATTAAAAATGGATGTAAGGTAGGCTGGCCAGTAAAAATGAATGTCCCCCATAAGAAAATTGTTCTCATGTTGCCACTGGCTGAAGAGCATGTTCATCCAGGCATGATAGTACGACAGCAGATCGGACAGAGTTTGGCAAATTCACACTCAGTGCTCTTCATGGAGTTGGCACACAAGGCCTCACGGCGAGTGAGACTTACGTCAAAGTGGGTAAGTGGGCCACTGTAACAAACAGACAAGTCAGGAGGAGTAAAACGGTGAATGATAATGCCTTTGGTCTGACAAGCAGTAGCCCACCTTTATTCAGGAAATACAATAAAAGGAGTGATTGCATTAGTTTCTGTTTGTATTACATTGAAGAACCTAGTTTGTTCAAAGAATTTACATTATTTTGGTCTAAAATGTAATTCCAAAGACTTGTCAACTGATTTAGAGTGAGTTTTTCTTAGCTTCACTACCATACAATAATGAAACATCTCACAGCTCACCTATTCTTGAATCTATGTACCGACCAGGCCCAACTTAGAAAACATCAACATGCCCTTAAATGATATGATTGAAGGGGAGCTAATATTCGCTGCACAAAACAGGCTTAAAAGACTTTGCAAAAAAGGAATTCAGAAACCAAAGCCAACACACAGATTACACAAGATATCAAATAGATAAATCTTTCTTTAAGCTTTAAAAAAACTGATGGCAAATTTGTCAGCATTAAAATTAAGCAACCACTGTCCGTGCACTATAACATTTCAAGTTTTTGAACATTGATTTAATTAATATTAGATATAATAAAATCATTTTGCAGACGCTTTTATTCAAAGTGACGAACTTCAGAGTAAGTACGACACAAGCAAGGATCTAGAGAAAAGGAAACAACGTCAGTAAGTGCAAACTAACAGCTTTAAGTCCGACACGCAGCTGCTGACAGGCAGCGCACAGAGGCAAAGCACTTTGTTATTTGAGTTGACATATCTTCATTAACAACACCCATACCTGTTCTTGAGAGCATCAAAACCATCCTAAATGTCATCATCGGCATCATCATCTAAATCATTAATTGTGTAGGTTTTCACAAAAGAGCTGGGTCTTTAGCTTTTTCTTAAAGGTGAAAGGGACTCTGCAGATTGACTGGAGTTTGTAGTTCGTTCCATCACCAGGGTGCGACAGAGGAGACGTAATCTGTCAATTCACTGTACTGGGTACCTCTGGTTGACACATTTCTATATTAACTTTGGTGGTCGGTGTCTGCAAGTAAATTTCACATGATTTACACACATATTTTGTATTTTTAGAAACTGGGAAACACTGTCTAAAAACTTTGCCCTTCATTATTCACAGCAGCAGCGAGCAATAGTCGAGCACTTACCAGCAGTAATAAACATCATCAGCAGAGAGTGAAGACAAAGATAACATTCAAAACCTTTTTTGGGGTGGCAGAATGCTTCAACATGCCTGAAAAAGACACATTTGAGAGAAATCCCTGATTGTAATAGTGTCAGATGCTTTTGCTTTTGAATCCGTACTCTTCTTCTTGTTAGAAAGATAACTCACACAAGTGAGTTTTCAGCCTCCAATGTTTAATATGAGTATTAGCCATGAGGTCAGTGTTGCTTAGCAGCTGAGTGGTGCAGACCAGGCAGCTGCATCCGGCTGGGCTGCTTTGGCTGCAGACCAGCTGCTGCTGAAATAAGGTTAAAGAGCCTCCAAGGATGTTCTGTCAAACATTTCAGCGAACAACAACGAGGGCTAACAAGCCTAACACACAATGGCAATGGGGTTTCATGTCATCCAGAATGAATTGTAATCAGTTAAAAACTGTCCACCCTTTTCTGAAATGTGTCAGATGAGTTTTCGATGAAGGACTGAGCTTGAAAAGCAGCAGCAGGAGAATTCTGCAGAGGAAGCCGTTTCCATTTGCACACAAAAATCTGCCATCGAGGATTAACTGCGCGGAAACAGAGAAAGGTTCAGAAATGCGAAAAAAAGGGCGTGCGTCTCCAATCATTGAAAACTTTCTATTGACTGATGTTTGGAAGGCCATTCAGGTCATTCAGTCAGTGAACAATAAAATCTCTGAGTGACCAGTGTTTGTGATGCGAAGACGACAGATGAAGTGCTTTTATGACAAACGTCCTCCAGCAGAGCCGGTCCTCAGTATTAAAACCTGGCCTGACTCCTGTACTCTTCTGGTTTGGCAAGGACAGTCAGGACTGAAGTGAAAAGACAGACCGTTACTCTGGACTGACTCTTCTGTTCCCTGCTAAACAGCCCATTGAAGCCCACTGTCAAACAAGTTCATGGGACAACGAAAGCCTTCAGTGCCTCAATGTGGGAAGATTTAGTTAATTTAATAGACAGAAAGTTGACTTATTCATTGAGAGATTAAAATGACCTGAGAACAAAGAACATTACCACAACATCAATTCGTATCATGTTTTAATTGATTCAAAAATGTGCAGGACACATCACATTAAAAAATGTCTAATATGTTAAAACCTGTTTCCTCTCTCTGACCTGAACACAGCAGCGCTCTGCTGTAGGTTGCACAACTCATGACATGAGCGTCATGCAGTCATAGTAAAGGCAATTTTCCAAGGGATTTAATCAAAAAAAATCTCCCCTTCAACACAAACCCTGAACTCGCCCACCTGTAACAAAGACAAGAAGGAAGACAGTTTCTCCTTTACGGTCAAAGGCCTTTAATTTTTTGTTTTTTTACAGCATTGCTCATTTTTCTCCGTTTATTTAATAATCTAGACGAAAGTAGGAGAAGGGATTAAATTCTTGTTGGAAGACAGACGGGTTAAAGATAATAAAAAAACTCTGTTAAATAATAACAAAAAATATACATTACATTACATTACATGATTATATCAACCGGCTGAAAAAAATAATTGTGGAAAAGAACGGGGAAAGTGAATTTAAGGCAACTGCTCGTTAGCTGAGTTTGCACAGAAATAGGCTGAGTCATTCCCCTCGGTATGAAGTAAATGAAGGTGATCATACAGTTACTGTCTGCTATGTAATGAGATGCCGCCACCCTACACCTGTGAGGGGGTGGGGGTATGATTGCAGATACTCTAGCTCATGTACAATGGATTGGAACAGTTAACTTGTAAATATTGCAGGGAGTGGAAAGAGTAAGCCAGACAGGAGAGAAGTGGAGCAGGTGTAGTGTTGCGTTCACTTTCTCCTGTTTCACTTTGAGGAAGTAGATGCCTGAAGCAGGGGCTTGCCCATGAAGTGTCCTGGGTGGCATTAGCCCCTGGGTACTGCCCCCCACCCCCATTGCTATTCCATAATACTTAGCTATGATTTCATTTCTCCGCTGTCTGTGGCATTTTGTCTGTGTGATATTTTGGAATGTGTTTTTCATTTCTGAAAGAACTACTCATGCCACACTGTTGCTTTATCGCACAGCAGTGTTACATTTGAATGATAATAATAGTATTTTCGAGTCGATGATTGGAGACATGTCAGTTCATTTGTTTTCTTTAATTTAGAAATTAGTGTGTGTACACACATACTTCAGGCCACCTCCCTTTAGATCCATGCTCATGTTAGGCCATCCCAGTTAAAAAGTCTGGACACGCCCCTGGACTGAAGCAGCAAGTATTGTTCAGTAAAAGATGGGTTGTTGGTGTCAAAGACATATTGGTTAGTAAAAGGAGGAATAGAGAAGGTATCTGCAGTATACTTGGGACAGAGGGTTAAGTATATGTCTTGTTATGAATTAACCTTACTCTGTTTTTTTTTTGGTTTTGTTTAACAAGATGAACTGATGACACTCAACTCAGTTTTGAACTTGAACTCACCAATCATTCAGCCAGAGCTGATGAAGATATTTTGCAAGGTATCCTGAAAATATTTACAGGTTTCAATAAAAGATTGCGTCACTTTAAAGGGAATATTGGAAGTTGCTCAGGTAGAACCAGCACCCCCTGCTGGTCAACCAGAGTAACTGACTCTAGACCGGTAGAATAACAAATATTCTGTGTGAGAGAGATGGATGATGGAGAGAAAAATGGGGAGGAGGGGGGGGAATGTCCACATTCCACATTCATATTCCAACAATTTGCAGTTATTATTCCAAATAAATAAAATTCATCTTTTCAGGTGTCACTACAATAAAACATAGCAATTTGTAGTCTTTTGAGTCATTTGTAAACTGCCAAGTACATCAACTGTTCAGGCTGCTTTTGAGAATTTGAAGAAAAGTGCAACTATTCACAGAAATAAAAGGGGGGGGGGGGGGGGGCGACATGAAATAATTTAGATACATGTACATATCAACAAATGTATATATTACAGTACAGAATAGAGTTGATCTTTTTCCTCAGTGGAAATCTTGGGACACAGTATCTGAGTGTAAGGTAGGCTGTAAAAAAGAGAGGAAAAGAACAAAGAGACAACCAGAGAGTAAAGCTCTTACAGTCTGCTGGTTTTTAAGACAAATTAAAAAGCCGTTTGATGATCCGAATGTGGAGATCCAGCTTAAGTGGAGCTAGATCGGAGTTGAAATCCTCCCCTCTTTCTCTCTTTTTTTTTTTTTATCTCTCAGTGAAGATGCTTCATCCTGAGTGTCCTCTATCCCCCTTTTTAGTGTCCGTACACACCCATCTCTGCAGTGTAGTTCTGTCCTTTCGCAGGTTTAACCTCTGGAGAGTCCCAGCAGTCTGTGTAAGCACCAATTTTGTGGGAACAGCGAGGGCAGGCAGGCCAGCCGGTTACACACTCGTGTCCCGAGTGTTTCTTTGTTTTCATCTGACCTGAAGCAGCCTCTGCACTCGTGGGGCCCTGAGTTGGCTCTGTTCATTTCACCAATAGGTTGCATCCTTGATGTACGTCCTTACAGGTATGGATCGATAAAGAAAAGAAGAAGGAAGGGAAACAGAAGAGAAAGTGTGGTGGTCTGGGCGGTTTCGTTTGCCTCATTCTTGATGAAGGTTTTCCTGTCCCTTTATATTTTCACTGTGGCTATATGGTGGTGAATGACATACTATTACCCTGCATGGCAGAGAGAACATTTCCCAGGCTTTGGTTTCGATTTGTCAAAGCGTACGTTTGTTCGGTGTGTGTGTGTGTGCGTCCATGCATTCACGTGTCCATAAACTTTTTGTAAGTAGGCATTTAAGTGTGTGTCTGTGTGTGTGTGTCTGCATCTACTTTAAGTGTCTTTGAAATAGTGTGTCGTTCTTGCAGCCTGTTACAGTATTCCCAGCTGTTTTGCAGAGATGTTTAAGGTCCAACACCGCTCTTAAAAAAAAAAAAAAAAAAAAAATCCTGGGCAGTATCCTGAGAACCCCTCCCTTCTGTTTAATAAAAACAACAACAACAAAAGATTCCAAATCTGATGTGAACGTCCATGGCCAACACACAACACATCCACTTAAACCAACAGCAGTCACTGATGTTATGACACTAACAGCCACTGCCACAAACGTTGTTCCACACTTGTCCGGAAAATAAATAACACTGCAGTCACAAACAAGATCTCCAAGCTGACAGACCACCTGAGAGAGAGAGAGAGAGAGAGAGAGAGAGAGAGAGAGGAGTTAAAACAAATCAAAAGTAACACGTCAGCAATTTTAAAGTAGTTCTTAACTTGTTATGAAACGATATTAAGTTGATGCTGATTCTTCTGTTTGACCGACAAGCTACAAAATCAAACGTAGACATAATTCTAACACTGATTATTCTATATACGTATTCTAATTCTTGTAACCTTTGCCTCCATGTTGGCATCAGATGTTTTCAAAGCAAAACATTTTAACAGTGTGATACATTTGGTAGATCGATCAGTATGAGACTTCACATGACACATGTACAGGACAGGATCGAGAGACGAGATAAGAGGCACTTCTTTGTCCACGTGAGAGAAAGCTATGTTTCTGAACGAGTTATTACACTGAGCAGTACATGTACTTTTTAAACGGACTGAAAGTGACATAAATAAATGAGTAATCTGTTCAGTTTTTATGCTTTAAAAACAAAATGATATCGGTTCTTTCTTTCACATTTTTTCTTCTACTTCATTGGCTCTTCACGAGACACAGGTTTGAGCTTCTTTCAGCCCTTCTTCCTGTTTTTGTTACACAAACTTACGGTTTTAATTTTATATTCAATGTAGTCCTCAGCATGTTTTCGGCAGAAGAATTCAGCCGTTTACAGTGAAAAAGTGACTACAATCTCCTGGTCAATCTAAGTTAGTGAAAAACTGGTGAAAATGGAGCATTTCTGAGATAAAGATATTTTCCTCAGGAGTTGTGGGAGCCAATGCAGGATTAAAGGTTATTACAGAGAAACAGCCATGGTTGTTAGAAAAAAGAGCTTTTCCTCCAACACCATTTACAAACCCATGAAGACTGTTCTCCTTCTTTTGGAAACAAATGTAAAAAGTACTAGCTAAGGAGGTGACAACAAACAAATACACAAACACAGAGGCATAGGGATGTTTGAGCTTCCTGACAAAAACATTCAATCAGTAACAATGAGACCTAGATGTTATATTAAAAATAAAAAAAACTACATGAAAAAGAATAGCTGTGCCTGATTTGAAAAGATTTTGAGAGTACAAAGAGAAGATGAAATGAAAGATGAATATTTCAGTGGAGGTAAGGAGGAGGAAGTTATTGTGTATAGAATTCTGGCTAGACCAAAGTCAAATCTTTTCTTTCCCCTGACGTGTGGTTATACTGTACAAAAAAAAAAACATTTCAATTCAAAATCTACCATGTAGAGTTTTTGGTTGGTCAGGAGTTTCCCTCTTCAAATTAATTACAGATTAAATGTAAGTTTAAGGATCAAGTAGAACCTAAGAAAAGTGTCATAATGGTTTTTTTTTTAACGTAGAGTTTCTTGTACAATTTATACTCTGCTCACACAGGCAGATTTATTGTTCAGTACATGTAGCTCATGAAGTGAAATCAAAGTTTTTTTTCTTTAACTCGTTCTCCTAAAATGGGTATTTAACATCAACTAGTTTACATGGTATATCATTAGAATAGTAAGAATATGTCCCCAGTACGAATCTCTTTTTTAATCTGAGAAACCCATAAAAGAAATGTACAATAAATGTATCTTGACTGAGCATTTGTCAGTATTAATTTAGGCTCTGCATCCGGAGCGTTCCCAGATTTGACTGTGGGGTCTGAACAAAGCCAAAACACTTGCTGTCCTCTTCATGGGCTTTCACACTTTCAGAAAACTCCTGGTAGAGCTGCATGTCTGAACACAAACAGCCAATTGTTCCCCTCAGACTTTATCCAGAGATTCCCCCCCCCACCAGTCCTTTTTTCAGCAGAAAGTTTGAGTGAGCTGACGTGAGCAGGATGTCATCCAGAGAATTCACCTGGAGCCAATGGGAGGGGGTGGTGACATCGTGTGACCATGGCATGGTGCATATATGCATGCGACCGCTACTATCTTTGTGCACGTGAATGAATCGGTATTTAGTTTTCTGTTAGTCAGTATGTTCTTTTCCACTGTATTGGTGATATTGTGATTCCGTTGATAGCATAGCAATGATTTAAAGGTATATATTTCCACCATAGCGTTGTATAGCTTCGTCTGCTACTTCATTTTTTTCAGGTCATGTCTTGCCTCAGAAACCCCCTCCATCCCGTCTGACAGGGATAGTCTCCCGCTGTGAGGTGTGAACAGCCAGGTCAGGAGAATTAAAGGCGCAGTCCTCCTGAAATGATCTAGGTATTTTTTTTCAGGAGCGCATATGTGAAAACTTTTTTTAAAGAGAAAAAGAACTTTGACAAAGGTCCAGCAGCTAGACAGAAGAGGTTTGAACTTTCTACTCAAAGCCCTCAAAACTCACCTCAGCTACCGGACACGCCAAAGACTTCAAGGCCAAAGGATAAAGGCAAGAGAAAAGAACAAGAACAGAAACAAAAACTGGAGAAAAGAGACGAAGAAGGGACAAAAGAGAGGGAGAGGATTAGAGGAACACTCCAGATATGTTAGTAACAGCAGAGACAGAGACAGAGGTTCAGTGTACACGACAACATCACTCAGTAACCAGGCAACACACTCTTCTTCATATTGCCAATGATAGCATCTTACGTGGAGGGTGGTGTTCTATTCATGATGCCGAAAGAGATTGCAGATTGTGTCCACCATACAGTCAATATTCAATTTCATATTGATTTCTCTTATTCGTGGCTATGCTATCTTACCACCTAACAAACCGTTCGAGGCTATCCTTTGTGTTTTAGTGTCATTCAGCGTCCCATCTATGTGTTCTGTACTGAACATGTTTTGTTTTTGTTCTTATACACAAAGACATCAAATATGGCCTACCTTTTCTTCCAGGTCTTTAATCTGCCTCCTCTGGATTTCTGTTTTGTCCTCAAGATCGCGAATTCTCTGAAAAAATTCAGACAAAAAGAGTGTAAAGAATGTGTTTCAGCAATAGACTGTAAATAAGAATGGACGAAGCCTGAGTGACGTCAGCCATCTCTTCAGACAGGGGGCTCCGGAGGCTCATCAGCAGCCGCCATGCTGGAAATCCTGTCTCAGCCCAACTTTCAGTCAGCCTAACTTTCAGTCAACCTAACGACAGGCTAAGAGCCGGAGCTTAGGCAGGTTTTAAGCCTCTTGACAATGGATAACACGCATCGTTTTCAAAATCAAAATGCAGCCTTTTTAAAAGAAATTCATCCCCCGTACTGTTTTTTTTTTTGTACAAGGCTTTAAACGTGTTTATTTCTGCTGTAAAACAGCTTTTTGCCAGTCATGTGTATATTACTTCCGGTATTCCTGGAGCCAGCCTCGAAGGGACACTCGACGAACTGCAGGATTTTGCACTTCCACATTGGCTTCATTTTTCAAGGCTGGAGGTTTGCCGCTTGGTTTCAGCCTGATACTAGCTTTGGCTGCCATGTGACATGCTCTCTACTGGACAGCTTTTAATCATCAAATAGATCCTTATTATAATGTTAATGTCTTGATATTTACACCTGTAAGATACTACTGTTTATATTAAAAAGGATTGTGCAGGTGATATCACAGAACTCTGATGTACGGAGCGTCTTCGATGGCGAACACTGACAGGTGTTACATGTGTTCAGTACGCCAGCATCGGTTCAGACTCGCTGTTTGAGGGTTGAACAAAACACTTTCAACACCATCCTCAGAGGTTTTGGACGATGCTCCATGTGGGGGACACTCCACTTAAGCGTGCAAATGGAGTGGAAAGTGTGTATGGACATGGTGTAGGGAGTGGTTTGAGACCTGGTGCGCCTGGTGCAGCAGTTCCATCCTCTCCTGGAGGATCTGGCAGTCGTACTCTCGGCTCTTCCTCAGCATCTGCCTCCTCAGCTTCTCCACTGACGTCCGCAGCTCGTCCCTCTGAAGCTCATCCAGAGGCTCTCCGTACTTTATCACCTGCATGACAGGCACATGGGTGTCAAACAGAGTGGGAAGCAGATACAATCTGAAGCCTCTGGTTTTACAAATACGTCTAGTATCAGCAGCAGCCCCTCTAACCCAGCCCTCTAGTTTTAACCATAACTGGTATGTTTCATAAGAGACATTACATCACAAGGTGATGTAGTTTTAAGATCAATAGTGCGTTAATTTGTTGTGACCTGAGGCACCTTGTCCTGCTGCAGGGTGTTGTACAACGTCGCCTCCAGCTCCTGGATTTGCTGTTAGAAGAGAAGAAAATAGCTAGTGTTACTTTTCACAATAAAAACACATTAAACCATTACCCTCAATCTTAAAATGTCAGACTGGATCTATAAAAGTCCAGCCTTGGCGATTAAAAACAGAAAAACACACTTACCATGTAGGCCTGGTCAAGGGCCTGTTTTCTGTAGTCCAGCTCTTCTTCTAGATAGCCTTTCTGTTTGCAGAACATCTCCTACAAACCAGATAAGAGTTTATTTATTGATTCTGCAGATCCATTATAGCCTTATGCATGATTCAAAACACAATTTTCTGAGTGGGCTAATCGTTTGTGGGGGGGAAAATCAATAACTAAATGCAAATGACTAAGTCTCTGTTAAATAAAACCGAGCTGCAGTTCATTGGATTTGCATAATTTGCCACTAAGAGCTGGGCCGTTCAAGACGCTGTGCTCATGTCTCTAAAAAGTAAGAAGAAAGCTTTTAATGCTGAAGATTGAATACTGGTTAAAGAGAAGACTCTTTAGGAACTTTATTAGTCCTTAATGTACTTGTACTATATTTAAAGGGGGTAATAAGTATGTGGCTAAATGTCATGAGCTCTTTCAGCAAATCACAGTCAAATATTTTTCAGTTAAAAATAAGTACTTAGTGGTACATTCAGTATACACTGAGCTAATGTTTTTGTTTTTATCTCCTGGACTGTTGAGGCTCACCATCTCTATTTCTAGGTCCATCATCTTCTGGTGCAGCGCTGCCTCCGTCCCCTCAATCTGTCGAATCCACTAGAGGGCGACAAACAGCAAAACAACATGAGCCGGTACATCACAAACTTGTTCTTTGTGTGTTGACATTTTCATCTTGTCATGCAAAAACACTGTACTGTAGTTTCCTAGCTTACCTTTTCTGCTAGTGACAGAACAGTGCTAGCCTGGATTATGGCCACTTGTTCCTCATTTCTTAAGTTCTGGACAAAAAGGGGGGGGGGGACATTTTTGGGTTAACAAAGAGCGGATTTAAGCATCGAAATGTTGAATTCCTGGACGCCAGTAGAATTAGGCAAATCAAGGCAAGGCGAGTTTATTTCTATAGCACATTACAACAACAAGGCCATTCAAAGTGCTTCACTCAAGACATAAAAAGCATCATGACAGAGGAAAGAAAAGAAACATTAAAATAGAACATTTGTTGACAGAATTATTAGTGTTCCTGGTGATGATGTCAGAGAAGAAAGATCGCCTTGCATTCCTCAGTTGTGAATTATAAACGTGAAGTCTCGCCTTGTAGATGTCATGAATCTGGAGATTAGTTTTACGCCACCTGCGTTCAGCTTTTTCGACACTCTCTTTTTCCGTTTCTTACCAGCGTCGAACTTCTCCATCGAGATCTTTGTGGGAGCAATGGAATCAATGAAATTTGTGAATTTAGAATTGAAGTTATCTACCAACTCACTGACTGAGCCACAGGAAAGGGCAGCTGTGGAAGAGAAAACCTGGTTAAAGATTTCACTGGTGTTTTCAGTGATACACCGTTTTGTGATCATTTTTGATTGAATACTTTTGTACACTGACATAGTACTCTCAAATAAAACAGAGGAGTGATCAGAGAGGGCAACATCTGAAACAACAACCTTGGAGATGTCCAAGCCCTTGGAGATGATTAAGTTCAGAGTGTGTCCTCTGTTGTGTGTGTGGGCTCTGTCACGTGCTGAGTCAGCCCAAAGCTATCAAGAGTGTAAGGAGGAGGGAGATAGGATGATGATGATCTGCTCGGGGGTTCGAGGGGGCAAGGGCGGTGAAACTTCAAAGGTGTTGGTGAGGGGGTCGAAGGTGGGTGGAGACCCCTCCTCTTGGTTCCGATGTCTGTCCTCTTTAAGCCTCTCCTCAGATACTCGCAGACGTGAAGGTTTTCATCACGCTGTGTTTTGTCTTTCCCGAGAGCTGTTTTCTTTTGTCTCTTGTCCTTGGCAGAGAGAGCTGATGGTTGACGCAGGAAGTAAAATAGGTTAGAGGTGAACAGTGTCACCCCTGACATGTTCAGGCAAAATCCATCTGCCTTGAAAAGATGTCTGCGTTCCCAGAAAATGTTGAAATTGTTAATAAAATTCACTGAATGGGCATTACATGCAGTTGTAAGCCAGTTATTCAGTGGCAACAACCTGCTGAATCTCTCCTCTGCTCTTCTGACTGGTGGCACGGGGCCGCTGATAAACACATCCACATCCAAGGAGCTGACCATCTTCAGCAGACCAATGAAGTCCTGCTTCAAGACTTGTGATTGCTGTTTTGTAACATCATTTGACCCTATGTATAACATTCTTCACAGTTGGGTGTTCAGATTAAATTAAGTTCAGAAAAAAGAGGATATCGGCAAAAGAATGGAAGCAAAGCAGAGAGCAAGAGGAAAAGCGTCTGCACTGTAAGAAAGCAGGAAGTAAACTTACCCCGTTATCTCCCAGGATGTCAAGAAGTTTGATGAGATCTGGTATGCACACATCCTGAAAGAAAAAAACACAACACACAATTTTGACCAATAAGGACCATACAATTTGAATGTGACATTTTTTTCCCCAAGACTTTCTATTCAACTATATGTAAGTCCAAATTCATTTTGCATGTTAATCTTTGAACTTTTTTTTTTTTTTTTTTTAACCATGTAACTCCAAAACTCTCCGCTTGCTGCTGTCTCACAAAAAGTTTGTGATCTGTGTCAGTGGACAGATTGAGAAAGCTGCTCGATGTCATGATCAGTAACTACAATAAAGCACTGCTCACCTTCACCCCTTCTTTCATACAGTAGATCTGCAGAGCACTGACTCCCTCAGAGAAGGGATGCATCCGCAGATGATTGAATGGAGGGGATCTCCTCTCACGCTCCTACGGCAACAGAAAAGGACATTTCATCACATGAAGGAAATATTTACAGTGACACTGTTCCCACTGAGCCTACTTGATCTTGTTGAACAGATATATATTTTTTTTACTTTTAACTGATGGTTTAAGACCACTTTATAAAGCTTAAAATTCAACGTTGATGGCCAATCTAGGTTCTTTGAAAGAGTGAAAGAAATATTTTCTAGTGTCTCTACTCTTATGCTCTTTGACAGCTATGTGTGCTGCCATCTGAATCAGGCTCGACTCCGATGAAATGTAGTTACTTCACAAACAGCAGCTCTGTTTTAATATTTAACTGTTTCCACATGAGACCCCCCCTCACACTGACATTGATTATCTCAGTTTCTCTAAGTGGTTCTCTGCGTTCTTTAAACTTTTTTTTTTTTTTTTTTTACATCTGATCTCCTGTCTGCTCACTAGGTGGCAGCTCAGGTCAAGTTTCTCCACTGCAGCACAGAGACGACAAAAAGATCCCACGGTCAGCTAGTTATCAATAAAAATGACACACTGGGGGGGGCTCTCTCTGCGATACAGGACATGACTGAAAGTCCAAAGATCTTTGTCATGGAAAACACTGAAGTGCTTTATAACTACATTACAGTATAAACTGGCCCACAACACAGGACTTTTAAGGATGAGAATTGTGAAATACATATTTAACTGTTAAGCATTTTTCTCCCTTTGCTGTTTCGTCTTCATTGTTAAGAAAAGCCGTAGACAGATGTGAAAAACTTTAGACCTCACTTTACACACCTGACAAAACCAAACCAAATATAACATTTAAGAGCACATAGCAATCCGAAGTGGAGTGAGATTTTTCTTTAGTCATAAACTGACTTGTTGACCTGAAATTTGAGTGGGGAGAAAATTAAATTGTGTTTTCTTAGGGGAGAAAATTATGACTACTGTGCATGCCAAACTGAGACTTGAACGTAGTTTTTATTTTTTTTCATCCTTCAGGTTCGCCTCAGAGAGAATAGTTGAAGGTGCTTGTTTTAGAAGGACTTGATAGGAGACTTCTTGTGACTCACCTCCAGCTCCAGTATCCTGAACTCTAATAGCTCATTCTGGTCTCTGGAGTCTTGTAACTCCTGCTGTAGCCGACTGCACTCTGAATCCATCTTTTCCACCTAGACACCAAAGAGAAGCAGCATTAATGAGGGACAGAGGATTTCCATATATTAAGATTAAAGCTAAAATCAGTTATATGAAGAGATAAGGGTTGAGACAAAGTTACTAAACATCTGCACAAACACATTTTTGACAAGTAAGACTTATCCCACACAATCACAGACATCTTTAGACTACTCTATCTCTTTAAAGGTAAAAAAAATATAATATAATACAAAATAAAGAACTATCAGAAAACAGACACAAACCTTCTCTAGCAGCTCCTGATTCCTTCGTAAGAAGAGCTGCTTCTCCTCCACCCATTTGGAGTCCTGACAGAGAAAAGAGAAGGTTCATCATTAGACTTTCATTCAACACATTTTGTTTCAACCTGTTCAGTGAAACAAACGTAACTCATATTCACGAGTACTCGTATGACAATCAGAGAGTTCGTCATGGCGATGAGGGTGAATTAAACCCTAAGGTGAAGTGGTGAAGTGATTCATCCCTATTTTGATAGCGATAAATGACTTTTTTATTTTTTAATTCAGCCTTTTTTTGGTCTTATATCTTTAGCTCTGTAGTGTATACATTAAAACAGCATGTAGTATATAATATACAATACTCTACATGAGGACATGAGGACACGTTTGAAGAGGAATTGCGGCAACTTTGACTTTGACATACTGTAGATATGAAAGCAGATGTCTGGTGGTAAAAACGTAACCATGTCCTGTTCGTCCTGGTATGAATTTGAGGATCTTGTGTGGACTACAAGTACTTCTTCTGTAATGACTTATTAACTAACACTCCACAAGAGAAGAGGCAAACATTTAGTGTCCTACTCCCTTCAGTGTTTAACCAGCTCTGCAGCGGTCTAGAATCCTTTCTGCGTTATAACCTCTCTCCGTTTTTCAAAAGCATCTCCAATATTTATCCTAGTTTTACCACGTGTCTGGTCGTGGAGCCGATTAGAAAATTGTATTCTTTTTCGGACTTGTAGAATTAGTTATATCTGAACCAGCTCGCTTGCCTACTTCCATTGCTGCTCCACCTGTTGGTTTGCCGTTTGCCTGGCAAACCGAGGGGCGTCCACAAAGGGCGTTGTGGGGGTGCCGTAAAACCGCCTACTTCTCTAGTCGAAACAAATTCAGACCATTCCAGACTGGAATCAGAACTAAAGAGGAGGACATACTGGCTGCTGCATTGTTGACAGAGAAGCCAGCTCTTCCACATAGCATGATTCCTTATAATATCTCTGATGATATAGTGAGGTCATTCTATGTTTTTAGATATGACATATTGAGCCTTTAATTTGAGGTTGTGCTATACTGTCTAACATGATCGATCTAAATGCTTCCTACAGCACTGCAGACGCCACACATGCATGCACACTTAATCACATGACATTCCCCTCCTGTAGCAAGTTAATGTCAGAGGTAGCCAATCTTTATGGTAAGACAACTATTTACGACAGAATTGAATAATCTTGTTAGGCGTTCCTGTTGATTTGTCCAATACACTTTGAGTACATCCATCTGTCTTTAGTCGTATGTGTCTGTGTATGTGTGTGTTAGTGTTTCCCACCTGTCCCTTTTGGTTCAGTTCCTTCTCCAAGTCCTCTATTTTGGCTTTATACCTGAGAACGTCTGCTTGGAGCTGCTCATGGGCCTGAAAAACAAGAAAATGAGACGTTCAAGAGTCATTCTAGTAACGTCTAGTACAGTAATGTAGTAATGTAAAGTAGTGCTTCTCAACTCTTGGCGTACATGGCAGACTTTTCAATTTGAATTCATTCATTAAACCAGACATTTACTTTAAACATTTTTAAATCATCTATGTTTATACTTTTATTATAAGAAGACACTGGAGCGTGGGCTGCAGAATGTCCCTGTCGCTGAATAGCACCTCTCTCTTGAGGTGCAAACCTTTAACACTGAGCAGCTTGTCAAAGAACAGATTTTGCAGGGACACTGACGCCTCTCTCTGATCGACTCCACGCTCTTTGATTAACAACTGAGAAATTGTGACCTTTGTACAAGGACTTATTGTGTCTACACACAAGGTTATAGTAGTCAATAATGTGTACTAGACTGTAGCGTAGGGTGACCTGTCCTGTACTGACACTTCTATGAAAATACACTCTGATGTTATCCTGTTAGCAGTAAGGGTGAAATACCATCCTGTTAAAATCAAAGAACTAACATGTCTTAGATAACAGATGAGACGTGTTTCTAAAATCATCATGGTCACGTTATGACAAATGTTTCCATTTAGAGTTCATAAAATTCAGTGTAACTAAACTCCAACAACTTTAAAGTATCTGTATGATATGATTGTACCGTCACCTCCATTTGACTTAATTTGAACCTCATGGGTATGTTTTGCTTTACAAGTGGTGGTCATTATAGAATGTGGAAGATGTGGATGAAAGAGGACGCTAGATTTCGTCACAATAACTTCTTTATTCTTAGCAAAACACAAAGGAAGAAAATCTGGCTCTACAGGTAGATTGTACCATTACTTGAAAAACGTTCTACCTTTGCTTCCATCTCAGCATCCAGGATCCCTCCTTTCTGTTCCTGCAGCAGGGCATAGGCTCGCTGTAGGGCCTGATACTCCCTGGTCAGCTGTCGGAAACGCAGCTCTGACTCCTCAGTGGATAGACCCTTGATTTACACACACACACACACACACACCGTTTAGCGGTCAAACCAATTGACTGAATACTGCTTCAAGACTATAACTACTCAGAAGTGACTGAAAAGATAACTTTACTAATTGACTGAATGTAAAGGCATGGAAACAGACTAGTATGAAACAGAATTCATGCGTTCCTCACCTCCTCCAGGTCTTCATCTGGAGTAGCAGGAGTTCTGTCCATCCTGAGTGAAGCTACAGAGGATGTCTCTGAGTCCATGGACTCCTCATCATACCCAAAGAAAGTGTCTACTACAATGTGCCTCTGCAGGGTTAAAACATGAAATAATTAACATTTCTTTAAATCTCTGATGGTGTATAAATACCAGTCAAATCATTTTGCTGACGAGATATCAGATTCAAGGGACTCTGGGTGTCCATGGAGAATTTTTTCTTTCCTATTTGTTTTACTTCAGAACGTGAATACATGTGAGATACATTTTCTTAAATTAACCAAATGCTGCTTTATGTGTATCCTGCATGGTTTATGTATTTTCACCTGTGGCCTTTTGGCTAACTCTGGCATATTTACAGAAATGTTTATGTTTTTAAATAAATAATACATCTTTGCAGCTTAGGTTTAACTTGCAAAAAACCCTCAGCCATCAGTTATGTTTTAAAAAAAAGAGCCAAATCAAAGAAGAGGAGAAAATCAAAGTGGCTGGACATTTAGATTTCTAAACAAGATGTAATCCTTGTAGAGAAGTACGTTGATGTTTAAATCAACACAAAGTTGCATTCAATGTCTTTTTTAATGCAGTCTGGCTCTTCTTAAACAGCCTGATAGTAAAAGTGTGAGATAAAATGTTTGGTTTTTTTGTGCTAAATAATCAAAGAGGCTGGATTCAGATGGTTCTGCTGTACACCATCTCTTCATAAGACACTGTTGACATTACAAAACTAGAAAACCTTCAAATCAAGAATAAATTAAGAAAATAATACAACTTTTAAACGAGTTTGAAAGAGTCCATTTAGATTTTTCAAACACAGTCCTGAGTAAGTGTTCGCTGGCTTTATACGTCAACAAAAGACTAGAAACAATTCATCGGTCTTTACCTTTATGGGCCTTGAACTTCTTTTATGCCTTTTCTTCCTCAGAAGTTTTTCTCGGTCCTTGAAAAAGAGGGGAAAAAAAGACATCAAACCACAGTCAGATCAACGGTTCTTTGTTTCTTTTGTGTAAATGTAATCAAAGAAAAGGACATCGGTGATATCACACCACAGAGAAGACAAAATACTCCCTCCTTTATTTCATTGAGAATGTTTGGCTTCATGTGATGTTGTTTGTTCAGGGTTCAGTTTATATCTTTATGAGTGCTTTTGGACTTTTTAAGATCTCAACATGGGATGTAGATAAAGTTTAAAGGAACAATATGTAATGCTGACACCTAGTGTTTAAAATGGGTACTGCAGTCCAAATCCAAAGAGCGCTGTCTCCCCCCCGCCCCCCCGCCCCCCATCCCCCTCCCCCTCCATAGAGTCTAGACGCATTCAGGTTGCCATGTTGGGACACAGAAGCTTCTTTTTATCCAGCTCTACATCGATCTTAAACATCATTCGATCATGATCAGAATGTATGAATTCTTTGACTGTGTGATACAAAAAGAAGAAGAGTAATCCAAGGCTATGTCAAACAAGAATGGTAAAAATATCATGGAGGCTAACAGAAAAAAAAACATACTCTTGTGAGTTCGTCTATCATGCTCTGTTGCTCGAGGACTTGAAGCTTGAGGAAAGCTATTTCCTGGTCATCGTGGGCCTGATCCAGGTCATTCAGTGACTTGAGCTTCTTCAGTGGAGCATGGGAGCTGATTTTTTCCTTCTGCAAACGCATACACAAGCACGCACAGGAAGAAAATGATTTTTTAAGATGACAAGAGTGCATTAAAAAACATCTTTATGTTGCTGCTGTGACTCTGTGCTGACCATCTCAACGTTCTCCTTCGCCAAACTCTTGAGTTTGTCCTCGAGCTTCTGGATAGTCTGAGTCAGATCGTCGTTCCTTTTACTCAGCAGCTTGTTCTTGTCCAGCAGAGGCTTACACTGCTTCACCGACTCTCGAACGCGCTTCAGCTGTTTGGGAAGGAAGGTACATGAGTATACATTTAAATATGACAGTACTGTGGGCAGCATTCTGAAGGAACTGGGAGATTTGAAGGATGATAATAAGTGACAGAAAGAAGACAGAGAGTGATAGTGTACCAGTTCATTCCTCTCATCGACCAGCAGAGAGTTGCGATCTTCTAATTTGCGTATAGTGGAGTTGAGTTCAGCCATGCGCCTCTGGTTTCTTCTAAGGTCCTAGAGAAGAAAAAAAAAACATGTACAAACTTAAAAAATATATAAACCTCATTAAATTAAAACTCTACCAATCAAACAACTAAATAAATCAAGAGATACATACACAGCTTAATATATATCAGGTTTGTTAGGTGGGGGTTGTTTCTATAGTAGATGAATAATGATGAAATCGTGAAACAGACTGTGGATCATCTTAGATTTATTCAGCCATGGTCAGACAACAAAGAAACACCAGACACAATGGCTGACATAGTGCAGACATTTGCAGACCCATGCTGACCAAGATCTCACAATCATTGACAATCATTGGCAAAGTGGCCATCATGGACAAAGTGGCAGAATGGCAAAGTTTTCATCTTCACAGTGTTGCTTATATTCTGCTAGAAGGTACAGCCCACAAATTCCTGCCTGCTTCGGTTCATCTTTAAAAGGCTCGAAAGAAGACATGACCTTGACTTGTAAATATCAGACATATACATTTCTTCAGTCTCAGAGTCACATTGCCCTCTCTGCTCACAACAGACACTTGCCTCCAATCCAAATATAACTGTGCTGCTATGAGGTCTCTTACACATATGTATTACAGCTTCACAAACCTGAATAAGAATTACTCTTAGATGGTTGACACAATTTAAAGATATATCCACAAAATTATCAAGATGAATGAATTCATGAAAATACATACTAACAAGGTTCCAACAATGGTAAACTGGAAACAGAAGTGTATACAGAGCTATGATGAAAAAAACAACTTTAAATGTTTTTAACCCTTAGAAATTAATCTCCACTGCAAGCGTATAAAATAGATCCTTTACTGACATTCTGAATGTGTTTCCATTCATTTATTTTAAACACAGTGTGCTGAGAAACTTAACACTGTAACTTTCTTTTGGAAACAAAAAAAGGGAACATCTGGAAGATGACTCTACACTTCAATGAGGAGAATCAGACAGTTGCAGGTGAGCAGCTTTGATCATTTACAAGCATGAAGATGTAGTTCCACAATTCCCTTGAACACTAAATGCTTCTGTTCTGCTTGTAAGTATTTCCTCCCCTTGTGCACAAATCCAATTCTGCTCCTTAATATCTGTGTCTGTGCTTCCTCAGAGGTCCACTAGCAGACTGTGTAGCCCTCAAATATGTTTGTGTTCCTCCAAATGTTTTGGTTAGCGAAAGAAAGACTACAAGTTTGGAGCAGTCAAAGTGCTGACTTTAAAAAGAAACATTTAAAAAAAAACTTGTCCTTTCACACTGGTGCTTCAGCTACAAATCCAAGAGCAATAACAAGTAACCAATAGCTAATGAGTAGAAGAAAAGGGTGATATTATTTGATTTGTATATTGATATTTCCCTCTACTAACCGGGCTTCCACAATGCTCTGCTCCGTCTCCAGCTCTGCCAGGAATCTCTCTTTTCGGGCTTCCCAGGCCACACTCGGCCTCCTTCACAAGGAACAGCTGTTCATCTAGAGCGTCCTTCTGAAGCTGCAGCTTCTGTAAGAAACCTGCTGTTGACTCCAGCTCCTTCTCCAGAGCAAAGATGGTGCGGTCTTTAGATTTGATTTCATCCACCTATAGGGAAGAAAAAGGGAAGTCCTTGTAAACAGTGACGGGGAAATGGTTAACAAAATCTACCTCTAACTTCTGATGAGGCGTAGGGTATCCAATAGAACCTAACTCTTATTATTGACAATGGTCCCATACTGTGGACTCAGTGGAACATACCAGTCTACGGATGTCCTTCTCACAGTCCCACTTGATCTTGGAGATCTGCTCCTGGTGCTGCTGGTGCTCCACTCGCAGGTCGCCGGCTTTCATTTTGTCGGCTTGGATCATGGTGCTGAGAGCCTCGTCCGTCTGCTTCTTAGTAGATTTCAGCTCGGCTATCTCCTGCAGCAGCCTCACTCGTTCCTGGTCAAAGAAGCGGCGTGCATCCTCCTTGGCTTCCAGAGTCAGGGATGTGCGTATCTGAAGGGTGGGGGGAGGGTGAAGAGCGAAGAGCCGAGATTATGAATGGCTGGGCAGAAATTCCACAGAACACTGATAAGGTTTTTTTTTTTTTTTTTTAGATTGTCTTGGGCAGAGTGAGTATTTTTTTTTTTCAGATGTACAGGTAGCTGTCCTGTGCAAATTAACACCTGTTCCGGTTCAATTTCACTGCTGCTGCCTCGGGGAAATGTTACTGCTTATCTTACTGTTTTTTTTTTACTGTCTATCTTGACCTCACCTTCTCGCCGCTGCCGTCTCGCATGGCGCTCAGAGCGGCTTTGAGCCTCTGGTTCTCCTGGTCTTTGATTTTAGCGTGGCGGGCCAGCTCCTGCTCGTGCTGCCTCGTCAGGTTTTCCCTGAGAGCCTGGAGCTCCTTCTGCTTCTCCTCGTGCCATTTGGCCCGCTGCTCCGTCAACATGGCAGTGTGACGGTGCTGCTCCTGCTCCCGCACCCGCTTCACCTCCTGCACTTTGTCCCGCTCCAGTTTGCTCACCTTTGGGAGAATCAGCAGAGCAAGTGTAAAGATGAATTATGTTTTTTTTTAAACATTAAGTATAGTCTATAACAGTAAATACATCACAAGTTATCAGTAAAGTTGAGGTTTTAAAAGCTCTTCTTAGTTTTGTTTTGTTTCTCAATCCAACTTTTTTTAAAAGCAAGGTATTATCATCTGCACCTCAAGCTAATTTCTTTGGAATGCAGAAACTAAAGTTAAAGGCAAACTATTGATTGTTTTAAGAATTGGGGTTGTTTAAGGTAATTATCACTAGTGAGTGCAATTTGTACAGTGGATGTAGTTCTGTTGACTTAGGAACGCATTTTTCTTAGTCTAAAAGTGCAATACAACGCAGACAAGTCTGAGACATGGATGAATCTTGAGACAGAATTCTTATCTAACCAATCAAAATGGGTGCAAAATAAATGGTTAACATTTTTAAGAGTTGGAAAAAATGTTCCACTTGTTCTTTCTGACATATTAACAATTATGTGCAGTAAAAACACACGAAAAAAACGTGTTCTGTACATGTGCAGTGTACATAGACATAATTTAACCTGGGCAGCCGACTGTTAAGTACAATGTACAATAAAGCATGTGTCGCACTTTAACATTTACAGACCATGTTTTACATTCAGGTCATCCAAACACCAGCAGGTTATATGATATTGTGTCATGGCATGTACTTCAACCTTCAAGGCTCAGGTCAGCTCTGTGCAAATGTTCATGTACACAGGCTGCGACAAAGGTATTACATTTTTTGAACCTATTCTAGTACAGTACCTTGCATTTTTCTTGGTGTAGCTCAATCTGAATGTCTGTTAGTTTGGACCTGAGGTCTTCATTGGCTGCCTGAAGGGCAGAGATGAGCGCCTCGGGCTTCTCGCCCTTCGTACGCCCTTTCTTGGCCATTGAGTAGAATACTAGAGAGGCTCTTCTGCTGCTTTCATTGGGACTTCACAGAAACTTTCCAAAGCGCTCAAAGGGTTTCCAGTTCCTCCTCTTCCTCATTCTCCTATAAGACAAAGGGGCTTGAGGGTGGAGGAGAGACAAAGAGTAACAAATGAAGACACATTACTTGCTGCAGAGGAGACACAAAAAAATGATGTGGAAGTATCTGAATAAAGATGTTGTGATCATCAAAATTATAGAGGCAGGCTTAACGGTACAGGTTATCTTCAAGAGAACTGCTTCTTTTACTACCAAGGTACCGGATGGTTGCAGCTCTGGATGGTTTTCATGTCAATAATATTGAAGGCATTTATTTTTATTTTTTTTGGCTAGCAGCTAAAGCTACATTAGCTGCTAACTGGCATTATGCTCCTAAATCTCCGATTGAACTAACAGCAGTCCAGTTGAGGGCCATGTTGGTGCCAGGTCTTGATGAGAAAGAACATTACATGGAATGAGTTTTAAGTGTGCGTTGTTCCTTAAACATCAAGTCCCTAGCTGAAATCACCAGACAACAAAATACTGAAAGGACCACCAGCATTTTAAAAACTGTCTGCACACCAAAACTGACGATAATCCATTTCATAGTTCACACAAAGACTCAGATGTCTACCTCGTGGTTTTACAATAAGAACAAACACTTAACGTAACGGATCAGCAAACATTGCCAGAACACTCCACTAGTATGACAGATATATAACTTAGGATGAAGTTAATGAGTAAACTCTCCAATGCAAATGACATAATTCAGAGAAGCACATGGTGTGTAATGTCTATATTTCCAGCTGAACAGTGAGAGAGGAAGAAGAACAAATGTGTTTCAAATTTTAGTACAGGCTCCGCACAAAGACTCGTTACCACCAAGCGGTCTGGTTTGGTTCAATACAGTTTGGTACAGGTGAGCCATTATCTTGCTTGCGTTTGGTAGGCGGGGTGTAAGACGGATGGTGATAGTCTCATCAGCTAGCTGGAAGGGTAACATCATAGCAGCGCAAACACAGTGTGGGCCCCTTGTAAATTTACAGAAGAAGAAGAATGCAACACACTAAACAAAGGGCAACAATGGAGGACTTCCAGCATTTTGTGTTCTTCCTTCCTAACATGTGGCTGTTCATCACAAGAAGAAGACAAGCTTTATTTGATTGAACGCTGCAGGCCGCAACAAATAATAACTTGAAATAACTCTCTCCAAACAACAGTGGAAATGCCAATAATTGCGCACTTTACTGTACTGAACTGAACTGAACTGGATTGCTTGGTGGCAGTGGGGTTTTGGCTGTTTTTATGAACGGACTGAATGCGCTTTATGTGCAGGAGACAACGAGAAATTGATGATAATGCAAGAGTATGAACGTGTGATACTACAAAACTTAGAGTTAAATCCATGGACTGTCCAACTTTGACGAACTCACACATTCATAATTTGAGGTCTGATTACTATTTCTCTAGAGATCTCACCTGTCGATTTGTCCCTGTTAAAGTAACATAAAGATTACTGGTGATGGGGATGTGGTATTACAGAGTTATGTGTTTGTCCACTCTGCGCCTCCAGATGTTTCTTATTTTAATTAACATACAGTGTAAGTACTAAAAGGGTAAAAGGTTTGTTCAGACCTACTGTACACAAGGCTCAAACAATCAGACTATGAGAAAGAGTTCATGCTTCATTAAAACAGCCAAATTCACTGGGTATACACAGATGCAATGGTTGAACATCTGTATCCGCAGATGCCTGCCCTGTTGGCAGACAGACCATTATAGTAATAATGATTATTATTATTTATATGTTTAGCACAAGAAAAAAAAGCAGTCAGATAGAACTAAAGATTTTTTTTTTTTTTTTTTAAATCACAGAGTAAAAGCTTTTCTTTTTTTTGTCAAAGAGTGGCTTGAGTAGAGAAATAAAACGAGGAACTAATTCTGAAAGTCTGATCTCCTCTGCCGGGCTGTTCCACAGTTTGGGGGCTCTGACCACATCCTGGTTCATAAGGGGTTAAGTAAGTGTGGAAAGGCAACTGCAAGGCCCAGACTCCAGACCAGTATTGGTGCCACTAAGTAGGGCACTAAGCAGGGGAATTGATTCCACTGCTTGGTTCAATGGTGTGTTGAAAGCAGATGTGCTTTCAACACACCATATACTGTAGCTCAAATTGACTTTTCTATCAGTGTTATGAATTGAACCAGAAATCCTGTAGATAACGGTCGGCTAAATTATTATGGTGGAACCCGAGGTAATGTTACTTTTGATTATTCCAAGATGAAGTCATCTGATACTCGACGTCAAATGATGCTTTATCACACCTCGACCGGGAAGTAACAATCAGTACATGTCGTCTGAATTAATCATGATGAAATTACGTTTTGCAATGAATCTGTGCTTTTTGCCAATCAGATTCATAATTTGAATTGTTTGCTATATTTTCTTTGACTGATCTCTCTGTATCATACAATCCTTCAATTCCTCGTCAATCCAAAGGATCCAACATTCCTTACACTTCTTTTTTTTCTCACAGGGGCATGCTTATCAGTGGTTTCCAAAAATATTTTTTTTAAAGCTTCAATAGCGTCACATGCAGCTTTAAGTTCCCAGAAAAAAATCCTTAAAAGAAGTTAAATAAATAAATATATAAAAAGCCATATGCAAAGAGCTTCTTGCTGAATTTCTATTTAATCAGATATATTTCAGAGAACTCCTCTGGAAATCTGAAACTACTCAGCGCAAAAAAAAAAAGGCTCATTACATCACAATCTTTTAACCTCATCCAGTCTTTCTTTTCAAAAAATGTTTTGTCCATACTACGTTCACTTGCACTCTGCACTTGTTCAGATTATGAAAATCATCATTTAGTTCAATAAGGGTATCAGTTTCTGCAAATGCAGCTCACATATTTTCTGTTTCACAGCCAAATACTGTGCATTCCTTTTCTTTCTGAATGTATTTATACTACATATTTCTCAACTTGTCATATTGAAACTGCAGTAATAGTTCAAATCAGATGTTACTGAATCAGTTTTAAATGACTGTGCACGCTTGTCTCTCTTACAGTGTAAGGATATTTCCTGAAGGTTTCTTCTCTTATTAAATCTCAAGTATGTTCATGGGCTTCCTAACTCTGTTCTTCTGATAAACTATCACATACAGTGACTGCACATGAACGTGACCAGCGTTGTGCAGAGCCATGATGACTCAGGAGGAGTTGGACAGTGTCAGTCCTTATCTGTTTAGTCATGACATAACATCGCTTAAAAGAGTTTTAGAAGCAGATTAGTGATGAAGCAATCATTATCCTCACGCCACGTCTACGTAAATGGGCTTATCTCTCCAGTCTAATGGGACTTTTTTTTTTTTTTAAGTGCGGCTTCTTTTTTTAAAGTTGGTATCATTTATGGGGGCAAAACGATTGTTGATATTCACTGATTCAGGAAATGTACTCAGTTTTGAATACAACTGAACTTTTTGGGGAAAGTTACAATTTCCTGCAACAGACTAAAGATGAAACACCACGTTCACTAACTTTTTGGTGATTATGCAATGTTTTCATAAAGGACCCTATTGTATGTGCCTTATTACAAACAGAAGCAGAGTATAGCTTTAATTGTAACCCTTAATAAGAAGTACCTCAGCAGGAACCAACATTTTCCTTACATCTTTTTTTACAGTGATACAAATTGGACTCGTGCAGTTGCTATAAAAATCACATACAGGACACTTGAACTTTCCAGAGCCCAAAGTAAAAGTGCAAACACTGACTGCAATTTGTAATGTCAATAACTGAAAACAGGTAATAGTTCAAATATAATGTCATTACTTGTGCAAATTACCATTCATTAATTTAAATAATTCATAATTTAAATTTTTACAAAATGATCTGATGCCTTAAGTGTTTTCGTCCCTTAAATATATCTCATAAGTCTTTAAGCACAGAGGACATTTCAGAAAGTCAGTAGAACACTTTTTTGATGGCTGAATTCCATTTAGCTGCTTGTATTGTACTTGTGTTTAACTGTGTGTTTTGTGCACGCCTGATCACATGAACACTTCTCCCTGGACAGATCTATTTTTCATTATGATATCAATGCCTGACTTTTCACTGATGTTAGTGTAAAAACTGCTAATTGTGTTCAAGATGGATGCATATCCTTGGCCTAAACAGCTGAGCTCATCTCCTCCTCACTTTTTATCTCCTAACCTACATTTTGAATCCTCCTTTTTCCATTATAATCATTATTATAGTGATACACACATACTTGGCTAAAAACAAAAACTAATGTAACTTGGATTAGGATGTTTGTCACTTAACGTTTTAGCTATTCCTTTTCAACTGGTGAAAGTTTTGATCACTGATATTTCAAATGAAGTTTAATGTTTCATGAAATGGCATTCATGCTTTGATTTAAAAATGAACAGTCTTGGGACTTTGCCACTGGGTCTATGCTGCCCTGAGATCATCCCGAAACCTCAAAGTGACACTTAGTCCTAAATCAGGATTAAAGATTAAACGATGAAATGTACTGATACTGGGCTTCTTCTTAGTGAATCAGTGAGTCTGCTTTAGATCACCTGACTCCCTAACTTTAGGCTCAGTTCTTCAACCAGTGCTGCAGAAAGTTTGCATGTGTGAAATATGAGAAATACGAGAAATACTGACAGATGTCGTGATATATTCTCTATACATTATGAAGACAAACAAAATGAATAGCACGAAGCCTTGCTGCTCTAGTCCTTATTGTATATTCTTTCTAGTCATTTAAATATATTTGGGTTTATCAGATCAGACACAACATAGTGATGATGTCACTTTGGTTTCTAAGAATAGCAACTTTATTTTAGTGATTTTTGTCATGTTTAACACTAAATACCATTGTGACTACTTAATTAATTTAAAAAACAATCATATTTGAAGATAATTATTAATCGCAGAATGGACATGTAGGGGAACCCTAACTTAACAGCAAACAACAATGAGCAATAAAACAGTAAATTGATATTTTTTTTTACTGTGATTGACTCTATATAGGGCTTATTTAAATGTCATCAAAATAACACATTTACCGAACAGAAAATCCTGTATAGTATGAC